TGTAATGGGCGATGATCATAACTACACGTACTGTAATGGGCGATGATCATAACTATACGTACTGTAATAATCATTACTTTCTATACCATGTAATTTTGTTTTTATTAATTAAGCATTTTATATCAAATCTATGACTTCTTTAGAATGCTCAAATAATTATCTTCAAATTATCTTTTTATATCAATGGTGTCTATGGAAAGTTATGCTGTGATAAATAATCAATTTAACTAGTGCAATTAGGCAAGAACGTTTTCCTAAAGAAGACATTTTGAGAAGGGGTGCAGGTTATTGTATATTCTTGTTGAAATAGAAGGCCACATTTCCATTCTAGACTTCAACATTTAAAACTAGTATTATACAACAGTTTGGTATTCTTGCATTAATACCAACACCTTATGATCACTGTGTTTATGTTATTTCAAAGCATCAGTTCAAGATCCTTCTATTCTAGGCTGATTTATGCAGTTAGCTTACTTTCAATCTGAACTACATCTAAAAATATAACACTTACATAGATTATAAAGTCGATTCCTCTCAATGGTGAAAATTAATTTTGACAATCTAAATGCTCATTATACAATCCCGATAAGTGACAGGATGTTTATCATCGAGATATATTTTAATAATTTTATCTCTTTCTTAAGGAAATAGAAAATATTACAATGCATCTTTGTTTTCAGTTAATTGATAAGTTTCTCAAAAACAAACCCCGATCTTCTAGTTTTTTCACAAAATGAGAAATTTCACCACGTGATTTTCTAAAAAAAAAAAAATCCTTTTTATTAAACATATTTGAATATTTACATTGGTCAAGACACCATATTTAAATGTTATACCAATTTCCTGAAAGCTTACACATACAATATATTTCAAAATTTCTTGGATTAGTCTATACTTGAACTTTTCGTAAATAATGGTTCCATTCTGACTAGTTACCTCAAAGTTTTAGACTGTCATTTTGTAAGCATCCACAAAATGAAAGCCTACAGTGCTTGTAGATAAAACATTATTAAAAAATATTTCCAAACTTTGAAAAAGAGAGAAAAAACTGCTCATACAATCCAACTTGTTGTGCTATTAAGAAATGAACATTTCAATTAGAAAACAAGTGTACACAGAAACAAGATGTTTATTTAACACAGTTTCCAGTGTTGTGTTTGACTACAGTAAAATATTAAAAATATATCTATTTTACCTCAAGTATTTCAAAATCTTCTTTAAGATGTAATGATTACAGCGGTAACTGTTAACCAACCTAATAATGTTTGACAGTATACAAAAAAGGTTTTTAAGTATCACTCCAAGCACAAAAGTGGACGATGTACATGTTATTAATATATATATATATGAAGTTATCATCTAAACAGTTGAATTTTTAAAATGTTTGAACGACCTTTCTCACCTTGCACAGCTGGATAATAATGAAGAAATCCATCTTTAGTGCCATTCAAGTAGTACTGAACACATTGTTTAAATTTCTGAATTTTGTTTTGTCCAACAGCTCCAAATATTTGAGTACCTACAGCCTCAAGGTTGTCAACAAAAGGAAGGCCCCGTACAAAGTCCACAACAGCTTTAATAAGAGTTTCTGCAGGAATTGGCTAAAAGATAAACATTCACGTATGTAGTTTATTACAACAATAACAACTTCACTGATATAAAGTATACTACAATATTTTAAGTCATAATGTAGGCCAAATAGTCACACACATAAAAACTGTGAAGACAGCTTAAACAACAAGTCTTTTTAATTGTTAATTAGTAAATGATACATTGTAAATACTTTTATAAAAATCTAGGCCAGGAGTAAAAAGATTTACTTTTGATGGTGATATATCAAAGGTTAATAACTTGTCTAAAACTTTTTTATTATTATTAAGAACATATCTACACAATGAACTATTTATGCTATGCCCATCACTGAAACTCAATTTTTAGTGTTACATAAGCCTTCAGACGTTCTGCTGATCCTTTGGGGGTGTCTAACATTAGTCACTGAATATCTTGGACATACATTTACGAAAAACAAGTATGATAATGAAACACGGCCAAACCCCACACAGTAGGTGTGGTTTTTATTATCACAAGACTATGACCATTAAAAACAGATTTCTGCTTCCCACTTATATAGGTGGTAAGATATTTTGAGCAAACACACTTCTGACTGTAAACTTTTACACTGTTCATTAATATACATTATAGCACCATTGAGAGTGTATAAAACCTACAATATTTTACACAAGCCCAGACATAAATGCAATTAACCAACAATATAGAAATGTATGCACTAAACAGATCAACATTAATAATAACAATTAGTAATATTGTTGATGTTAATGCTGGCTGAAGGATGATCCTCAAGATAAAAGATTATTTCAAGTTCGACAGAGACAAGATACAAACCTTGTCTTTGGGCTGATCTGGACAAAGAACATGGTGAAAAGGTGTCAGATCTTCTTCAGTAAGTAAATAATTTCCCAAAAGGGCGGCAAACACGCAGAAGCGGTTGGGGTGAAGATTCAAAGTTCTCGCTACTTCGTCAAGAATTAATTCTTTAGTTTCAAGTGAACCCTGAGGTAGAAAAACAATTTAAATATTAACAATATACTCAAGCTTCATCTTCTAATATTCAGTTTACAATTGTTAGTAACATTTTTTTTTTTTGCTTATTTGTATACAGAGCATGTTAATGTCAACAAAATTTTAGTGAACGTTTTAGTAACATTATTTCCATAATTAATCAACTTTTTCAAACAATTTCACAAAAACACATTCTTCTCTTAAAATATACTTTTCATGTACGTGGTACAAGTAATTTTTTTAAACATGTTCAGTCCTAAAAACAGTTAAAATTAACTTAGTAGAAAAAACTATAATTCATTCAAAATTTTATTGAACTACTGTTTCATGAATTTATGTCAATAAGTTTGGTATCAAACTGTAGATTATAATTCA